ATAGTGAAGAGTGTGCGCAGTGCCATTTTTGTGCAATTCTGGGATGTTTTTTTAAGTAAAAATAATTCGGCGTTACATGTACATTTATGTGTATGTGTTATTTTGAAAAACGCGTAAGGAGTATGGTATTGTGCACTTTTTCCCAATTTTGCAGTGAATATTTGTCATGATAAGCAGTTTTGTTAGATAAAATTTCTAGCATAAGTGTAATTCAGCTAGTAGATTGTTGGAAGAAGTGTTCAGTAGATAAAAAGAAAAGAAACATGTCTTTACTTCGTGAAGACAAAATGGTGGCGGGAAAAAAAAATAGAGGGTTGCTGTAGGAAAGTTGGTCGCCAAATTTTCGCCAAAAAAACGCCAAGTTTCCATAATGTAAAGATCAACCGAAATTATTTGCAGAAGAAACTTATCGAAGCAAATGGTTGCCTGTCTCTTAGGCATTACAGGTTACATGGTGAAAGTGGCATTAGAGCAACATAGGATAGTCAATTCCAAATGGTACATGACCATTTGTTTACCAAAAATCATTGGAGAAATTCGAAAAAAGCAGAAGAGGGGAATCATTCTTCATCATGACAATGCAAGCTCTCGCACAACGACTCAAACAAAGGAATTTTTGATGGGCCAAAACATCGAATTTATGGGTCATCCACCATATAGCCCTGATTTCAGGGTTGTGGAGTCGGTAGGGAAAATGACCGACTCCGACGCCTGGAATTTTAATGACTCTGACTCCGACTGCTTCATATATATGTAAACATATACACATGGGTACAGCTTATTTTTTTTAATAAAAGAAGTAATAGATGCTACAGAAAAAAATTGATGCATAGCAAATTTTTTATATTAATTAGCATTTATTATGAAATGGAAAACTGGCATTAGTAATTTCTAAAAAACAGTAAAAATTCGGCAAGATCTTCTTTTGTTAGAGGACGATAGATCCGATTTGATAAACTTCAGAACTGAGAAGAGTGTTTCCACACTGACTTGAGTAGGAAGAAGAGCTGTTACTGTTATGACTACTTCCTTTAACTTTTCAGAATAGATTTTTATAAGTTCTATAAGAGGTGTCTTGCAAGAGCAATCATATTTATCTATTTCTTCAAATGCCATGTATAAATCTTGTTTGTATTTTTTCATTTTTATATCTAAAGGCTCTTGGTTTTTTATTTTCATTCGCTTTGCCTTAGCCTTTTCAATATTATCCAAATATTTCTCAAAATCTAATTCATCAGTGGAAGAGGATGCTAGAGACTCACTTGCAATATCTGCAGTGTGTCTTTCCTGATTTGAATACTCCAGTTGTTCTGAGAATAATTTCATTCTTAATGAAAGTTCATAGATGGCTTTCTTTGCCTTTTTAATTTGCTTGTCATCCAACAAAATTCGGCGTTTTGGATCTACGTATGTTGAACACAGTGCGATTTTATTGTCTAGCAAACTAGTTTCTCTTTTCATCATTGAAGAAATGATTTCTTCTGCAATAAAACCTCCATACAAACATCACATTCTTCCAGTCTTGCCTCTTGTTAATTCTTCAGATTGTAGCTTTTTGTGGCTGTATACGGTATAGAAAGAAGGGTTTCCAATTCTGCAAGATCATTCCATTGTCTTTCTGTTAGTGAAGCATTATGGTTATCTACATCTAACATTCTCGTCCCCTGTTAATTCTTCAGACTGTAGCTTTTTTGTGGCTATATACAGTGTTGAAAGAAGGATTTCCAGTTTTGCGAGTCCACAGTCTTTCTATTAGTGAAATATTAGGATTATTTACATCTTCTGAAAAAGTTCGTAATCCTAACAACCACTTATATCATCAAATATGTACTTTTTGATTGTGTTGCTCCTTTTCCTGCTCACTGCCAAAGAATGGCATCAATTTTGGGAGTTCTTGCTGCTTACCTAAATTCACCAATGAGATTAGTAATAAATGAATCAGTTTAATCAATAATGGCAAATATCACGTCCATCCTGCTCTCTTATATTTAGTTACTAATATGTCAATCAAGTAGAAAATAACTATTTATTAATGTTCATAGTCTATAAATAAAAATATTACCTCAGTTTGTCATTAATTTTTTTCAGTTAATTTTAATTTCATTTCAAATTCAAACTGTTCAACAATAACTGGAGTAGGAGTCGGCGTGTTTTTAGCGACTCCTAATCCTATTCCTTTTACCCCAAAATCTACCCGACTCCATGATTCTGACTCCACAGCCCTGCCTTATTTGGCACCCATGACTTATTTTCATTCTTGCACATAAAAAATAAATTACACGGTCATTGATTTGCAACACTCGAAGAATGGGTTGATGCATTCAAAACGTATGTTTTGCAGTTACGTCAATTGGAGTGGAAAAAGTGCTTCGAAAATTGGTTCACATGCAAAAGTGTATTAATCTTCATGGAGAATATTTTGAAAAACAATAAAACCAGTTTCGATCATAAACATTTGTTTTTTCATTATTAGGCCAGAAGTATAAATAGCAACCCTCATATGCAAACATATACTTATGTGTATACTGATTAAAAATATATTAAGAGTCATTCAACTCTTATTCCTCATATGACATTTCCCCGAGACCAGTTAATTGAAATTTCATAAATCTATAGTTAGTTTTACATGTTTTAATATTCAACAATCCATACAACTTCCTAATTGGATATTTAAATAGGTTCTTATAATTAAAAGTGAATTTTGTCATTTCTGGCAGTTCTTAATGATCTACTTTGATTTATGGGAAAGATTCACAATATTACAATAAGATTATAGTGAAAATATTCAAGTGATGAATAAATTAAAACGTTATCTGGACATTAATGGATTTTATTACACATCTTTCTGTTTGCATACATCATAATTCATTTTGTCTTTGTCTATACTGATTTAGTTCATTTATTATATAACTATGGAACTTGCTGTAGAAATATTTATACTGATATGACTTTCCACAAGATATTTCCTAATGGCCAGATGCCAAAGCTATTCGTTTTATTTACTGATTACATGGTAATTTGCTTGAGATCTGAATAGATCATTCATAAGTTTTTTTTTTTTTTTTTTTTTTTTTTTGTGTGTGTGTGTGTGTGTGTGTGTAGTGTAAGTATAAGTCGTTTTTTCTACAAGCAACCTTTGTTGTGGCTGGCAGCGAATAAATTGAGCAAGCTCTTATCACTTCTATGGCAGTTGTTATTGTTTAAGTGCCGAATTCTTTAAAGTGGAAAATGTTAATGGAATATAAGAATATAAGAATGAATTTTCATATTTCAATCATAGAGTCAGAAATGCATTTGAAGTTTGAGGCTATATGAAGGATATGCCTTTTGTCATCAGCAATTTGCTATGCTGTGCACAAAGGGCATATCTCCCTTTCAACAGGTAAGAGGTGTCTTGCAGTCTGACTCATGATTAATTATTGCAAAATGTAAGATATTTTGAATTTAAATAATGATTTTATTTTGCCTTTAAGAATTATAGGTATACCATTCATATTAGTAATGGAAATTAAAGCAACTTTTTATAAATAGCTGATGCTATTTTCATATTACAGTCAAAAGTCGTTAATTCGGACACCCATAATCCGGACCTCAAAGCTAAAAACTTTCTGCGCATGCGCCGCGTTGGCACATGCGCACAGGTGTTTTACGCGTGCGCGTAAGACCTTGACTACTGCACATATGCGTGTACGCAAGTGCAGAATACGTTTTCGACTGCGCGTTTAATGTATAACGGACGGTGTAAGCTAAAATTATCTAATTATCTATTTCAGTTAATGTTAATGATTGCGTTGTTCCTTAATCTTCGAATTGGATTCCGCTTATTATTTTTTGCAGACTGTAAGAGCAATTTTATAAAAGTAAACTTGAACTTTCGATTATGTCAAATAGAATTTCCGATGCTGGAACTTCCAAAGGATCTACAAAACGAAAGTATGTTTCGATGTCCAACAAACAAAAAGTGGAATTGCTGCAAAAAATGGATAGACATGAAGAATGTGACAGAGAGGTTAGTGAAAACGAAAAAATTTCGATTGACAAGTTAGTCGGTATTCTCGGCACAGCAATTAACGGGACTTGAACAGCGGAACTTTGTAACTGAACAAGAAATTACGTCTGTTTATAGAATTAAAGAGAAAGTATTATCACATAAAACGAAGCAACTTAAACAACTTACATTGAAAGAATGTTTAATAAAGTAAACAAATAAATATTAAGCTTTTTTTTTTTTTTTTTTTTTTTTTTTTTTGTAAATTTGATACCCTTTAGATCATAATTGTTCTTTATTTCATAAATTACGGTTTCATATTTTTAATTTTAGAATTTCTGCATGCCATCTTATGAGATTTAAACTGATGATCTATAATCCGGAAAAATCGATAATCCGGAACCGATGAAGTCCCAACGAGTCCGGATTAACGACTTTTGACTGTAGTAGTTTCAGATGTTTTGAATTTTTATATAAATCATAATTCAAAGTACTTTGTGACTTTAATTTCATTAGCTTTCTCTGTGCTAGCATCTGTTAATTAATGTTTTGCCTCTTAAATTTACGCTTATGAAACATTAGCATAACATGATAAATGTTTTTCATCATCAACAAGTAAATCTTGAATGCAAAAAAACGAGCTGGGGAAATCTTGGAGAAGGCTAGTAATTTTCAAGTGAATTTCCTCAAAAATGAATTACATTAATTATACTAGTTGTTATTTCTTGGTATTATAACTTACATTATGCAATATATTGACAAAAGGGGATTTTTGTTTATACATAAAAGATAATTGTTTGATCTAAATTGAAAATTTTTTTCATTTTGAAATGTTCTTTGCACTTTTCATTTCATTTTGAAAATGTTCTTTCTAGAGACTTGAATATTAGCTGCATGTTTAGAATATGTTGCATATACTCTTTATATGGTATACGAATTAGTGTAATTTAAAATATATATTTGTTGTGAGTTATTGTTCATTCAATTTTTTTTTTCTTTTTTGTTAATATAGGAAATTAATATCATTTGCATTTGAACCATTTCCTGAGTACAAGAACTGTTTTTCAAATTATGAAATAAATTTGATAAAACTGTCTCGCTATGACATAGTAATAGCCTGTTTTTCTGTAACTCTGCATGACGAGGTAAAGTTTTTAAAATATTTACTCCGATAAATATGTTTTAAAACTTTTTGATAGTGTCTGTTGACGTATCTTTTGCTATTATATTGTTCAAGCAGCAAGTAAAGGTATAGCATATTTAATTTGTGTTAAATAGAATTATGGAAGAGAATCTTTATCTAGTAATGCCGTATATCTGCACATAATAAATTTTAGTACTCTAGTGTTTATATGAAATTTAGGATGGTACCAAATGCTATATTCCGTGGAGTTTTCATGTAATATGTTTATACATAGGGGTGTTTACACATTTTTGTAACCATTTTGATTTTTTCTATAAATTTAAATATTAATTTTAAAATGCTAACATGACTGGCATCAAATTGCAATAAGATGTAATTATCGTCTGCAACATTAAAAATAATCTTTTCTTTAAAATGTCACTGAAAAATAAACTACAGATCATAGGCTGTAATTTTGCACTATCTGAAGAGAAATACTCTTATTCAATTATTAAAAAAAGATGTGAAAAGCATAGTTTTAATATTTCTATATGTAAAATAAGTGACATAATTAATATGAAAGGGAAAAAAAAATACATCTGACTGGGGAAAAGGCAAAAATTGCATACGCAAAGGTAAATAAATAAATAAACATCTCTTATTAAATCTAAAGTCACATCTCATGTTTTAAAAGAAAATCCAGCCCACACCCCCAAATAGCTATTGCAATCCCTGTAGGAGCTGTGAACAAAATTATAAAATCTGATTTAAAGCTAATCAAAGCAAACAAAGAAAAACATGATATTCATTGCCTAATGCCGAAACATGTTTCTCAGCATGAGACTATGTGCAGATTGCTGTATGAAAATTATTTGGCAGGTGAAACATGTAAATACATAGTTATAATTGTTGTGGCTTGGATATACTTATCTGATTGCAATAAAAAAAGATCGATTTACTACTGAAAAAGAAGAGAAAAAGTCTTAATATGTTGGTTCACAAGAAACAAGGAAAGTTTTTCTGAAGTTTTATGGTTATTACTGGTTTCTCTTATAACGGAAAACTTAAAATAAGTAGAAAAAAATGTCAAAATTAATTCGAATTACTATCAGAAATATATTTTAACACTTATTTTTAAAGAAGAAATTGAATCTCTTTATACAAACAATCTTCACTGTGTTAAGTTACCCCAGTGTAAGGCTCCAAGCCATACACTGGATTATCTTGGAAATCAAGATGTTCAATCAAATGGCTATCAGACTGAACATATTAGAAAATAAAATTTTAAGGTTTGTTTATACATAAATGTTTGCAAAATCGTTACAAAAATGTGTGAACACCCTCTGTATATGCAGTAAAGTTTACGTAAAAAATTATAAATGCTGAGATATTTTCAATATTATATAACAATGAACTAACTATAGGATGCTTCACTGCATCGTAGTTTCCTTATTTCTGTGTCTCCTAGATGAGAAAGTGATCCATGAAAGATAACAGAGTGATTGAAAAATACATTGCCTGGAGAGTATGCATTTTCATGTGCATTTTTAAGGGGGAAACATTTTGAAGCTTTATGTCAGCAGTGCAACATTAGTTCTGAATCACACATGCATACTGATGCTTATGTTTGGATTTCCATGAGAAAAGTGCCAGTTAGTCCATCTTAACCAAGCTATGGCCTATTTTTACATGCTTGCAGCTTTGCAAGCTACTTATTTCTTTTATATACTTATATACATTAGTTTATTGTTAAAAATTATCTAGCAGAGTTAGTTAAAAATTATCTAGCAAAGTCATGCATTTTCTTTTAATATCTTTGAAATATTTTAGTAACTTGCTGATATTATAATTTAATAACACAGCTAAATTCAGTTTAGATTTATCGTAATAGAAGTTAGCATTCACACATTGTGTATGTCATGGCATGAAACATAGTCAGGTAACAGAAAAATTTGATGGCGGATGAAAATGCTTTTAAATTTTATTGTATGTTTACTTTTGTAAGCTTATGTTCACATTTCTGTTCCAGAATTGATGTTTAAATCTATTACCTTTGTGATAACTGCTATTATTACATGCAGAATAAATTTTTACATCCTCTACTGAAATACATTTTCCCCAAAATGAATATGATATACTTGTTTTCACTTTATATGCTGTTTTAATAAATGTTGTTTTTGATGAATAAATACATTTAAGTCTCTAGGCAAGTGAACTGTAGATCATAACAGATTTTAGTTTAGAATTTTTGTAATTATGTTGAAATTTCTTTCTGTAAATACATATGTTTAATATCATTTCTTGTATAAATTCAGTGCTTAAAATTTGTGTTTTATTACGAAATATAATATATACAATATTTCTAGCCGAAAATATTTGTTTGGATTTGTGTACTTTTTATCATAGCAAAATTGTATTGCTTTTTGAGTATATTATGTTTTGTAGCATTCTAGATGTTTTGCATATTGTTTGAAGAAAACAAATATTTATACATAGATTGTCAATTTTTTGCACTAAAAATAACAGTTGATTGTGCATAAATTTGAACAACTAGGTGCCACTGATATCTTGCTAGAGATGCCAATAAGTTTAAATACTTGTACAAGTATGAAAATGGAAAATAATCTTTGTGCCAAAAAATATGTGTGCAGTAAAAAAAATTATATGTAATTATAAGCAGTTAATTGTAAAGCAGGGATATGGCAAGGCCCTAGGATTTCGAAACAGGCAATGATTAGTCTTGGAGAGCTTGCAAAAGTTCTCTTAATTGAAGTCACTGCTGTGAACCGAAATGCTGTCATTGTGTTAAAAATGTTAGTGTGGAGTTTTATGCAACTTTTGCACATAAAACTGTGTGTATCGCTTAAAACTATTGCCTGTGTCGATTTATATGTGATGGATAATTTGTGATGTTTATGTTTTTGATTAGTGTGAAGACATAAGAAAAATTGAAATGTAAGTTTATTGTAATGTAAATTAAGATTAAAATGAAAGTTTCTAGGCTTAGTATAGTACAAAAGGTTACAAAAGTCATTTAAAAGTACTGACTAGCATTTTTACATCTCCCAAGAGACGTGAATAATAACTTTTAAAAGTCATATTAATGGTTACAATTACAATTATTATTACGTACAGTGGATAAATTTAATTTTTTTTGTCTTTAGTTTAACCTATGTTCAAAATTTTACACAATAAATTACTTAACAGATCTGTCCTTTGAATTACATATCTCCATTTAAAATGCATATTTAGAACTAGCATTTGTCCAAATTATGATAGTGGCTTCTTTGAAAGGTAAACCATTTTCGCAATGTGTCTCCATCATTCTTATGCTGGAACTTTTAATTCTTGTATACAAATATTTTCCTTATGAGTAAAAATTATTGAGTTTTGAATTTTCCACGTGGTACCAATTTCATATTTGAATAAAGTATATTCCTCGTTAATATCAATTCATCTACATCCGTCATGTTTTTCAAATAATACTTACATTACCCTCAATGCAGTTGTCCATATCTTTATTGCTCAGTATATAGATGAATATTTGACATAATTTTCCCAGTAGAGAGTAAAAAGAATTAAGTAAAAGACAATGCGGATGTTTCGCTGTTCTGCAAAATATGAAAAAAGAAGATAATTTCATCATTAGTGAGTTGCAGGTCCATTGAGCACATTCATTTCCTCATAGATATGTATCGTTAAAAAGGAAAAGTGCAGTAACCCTTGTCAAGAGCATCTTAAATTTTGCAAAAGATCTAAAGAATGCAAACTTTCTCTCCCATTTAGAAATAGAACTTTGACAGCATTTTAGATACTGAAGCATTTTAGATACTGACAGCATTTTAGATACTGATAATGGATAAAAATACAAAATTTCTATTCCTTAAAAGTTGCTTGCTTGGTATAGCCCTGAAACTTACCTCTTTTCCTGATTAGCAAATATTTCCGTCATAGCATCAGCCTTGAACAGAGCCTGACAGCTCATGAACTTGAATAGGATCAGAAAACGCATTCAAATTCTTTGACTCAATGGTGACAGACAATTTATGGTTCCCTAAAATATGTTTATTGTGTGTCCTGTTTTTCCAAGAACTGGGTGTTACACCTACCTTGCATAACTTTATTTGGAACACAAAGAGTTGTGAGGGTGAAGGTAAAGAGAATAGTAACATAGGATTTTTCTGGACTCCAACTCCGACCTATTTTTCAACCACTGTCTTCTAAGCATTAATACTAGAATAGATGGAATTCTTATAAAGCATGATTCTACCTTAAATGGGTGCATGAATTCTCAGAATACCTATATGTTTGCTAGTAAGATTGTTCATACTCTGTGCACAATATATCTCTTCGTGATACAAAAATTAAACTGTGATGTGCTATGTCACAGTACCATCTTTAGCATGATTATATAGAATAAATCTTTCCATGAATTTATTTCTTACATGAAAGAGAAGAGGTATATTCTTTAGCAGGATGATATCATCTGCTACACTTTCTGTGAACACTGAAACTGTTAACTTTTTGGAGATCCTGCCATTCCAAATAACTTTGGTCAACAAAAATGTCTTAACTGTATCCCACTAGATTTTTCCCCCCTGTGTAACTTACTGAAAAGGAAATGTTAAAATACCTATTTATCCTTAACTTTTTAAGAGCATCAACTAATGTAGTCTGTTCCTTTAAAATAGGCACTTCAAGTTTGCAGCAACCCACACTTTATTTACAATTGTAATGTGTGTTTTTATCACTGCTGAGAGGGAATTTTAGCAAAAAGGAGGGCTTGTCTTTTTTCCTGCCGCAGATAGAGATGTGAGGTGTGGTTTGGGGGAAAGAAATGGCCCTGATGTACCTGTTCTAGAGTAGCATAATAAGTATAACTATAATAAAGTTCTGTAGACTGTAAAGTTCATTCACTCTTCCACCAGTAGATTGCATTGACAATTTTGTCTCCTTCTGTTGGCAATTTCAGAGAAATTTTGCGTTTGCATTTGAGCAGATTTCTATTTCACATTTGCAACTGAAGAAGAAAGATAGTACCATCAGAACTATTGTACTGTATGTTTTACTTATTTAGAAGAATTTTTTTTTGTTTGTTTAAAACTAAAGTATATTTTTATTGAAATTAGCTTCTTTATAACTTTCATAAAACTTTGTTTATGAAAATTAAAATTTTTTTCAGGGTAGTGCTAATGTAACATTTAGAAGTCTAAATTCTGGTATTTATCAAGTAGAGGTAAATTTTTTCCTTTGCTTTTCATTTTTAAGTTATAATTATATTTTTGTATTGATATTATAATAATGTTAATTTTCTTAATTTTTTTTACAGTTAGTACCCTGTTATACTGATACTTGTGAAAATTATGGTTTTGTATCTGAGAAAATTACAATTTCAGGTATAAGATTTCATTTTTAATTTGAAAATTTATATGTATTGTATCTGCTTATTATCATTCCATATTAATGGTCATATTTAAAATTGGACGTTTTATTTATGAAAAATATATGAACTTCTGAAAGGAATAGGATGAAGTAAACATACGTTATTCAGGATCCATTAATATGTATTATATCTGTTTATTATCTTTTTGTGTTAGTTGTCGTATTTAAATATGGAAATTTTATTTATGGAAATATATGAAGTTCTGAAAGGAATGGGGGGAAGTAAACGTACAATATTAAGCATGCATAAATTATGTAAAGCAATGTTACAAAAATTACTGCATATAATAATTGGGATAAGTTATCAAAGAAGTGGATAAAGTAATTTGCGATATATTACTAAAATTTTATTGATACTTACTGAAAGTGAGACTGAAAGATGTTTACTGAAAGTATTAAAGTTTCCTAGATAATTATAATACAGTCAAAAGTCGTTAATCCGGACTCGTCGGGACTTGAGCGATTCCGGATTATAGACCATCAGTTTAAATCTGGTAAGATGGCATGCAGAAATTATAAAATTAAAAATATGAAACCATAATTTATGAAATAAAGAACAATTATGATCTAAAGGGTATCAAAATTTACAAAAAAAAAAAAAAAAAAAAAAAAAAAGCTTAATATTTATTTGTTTACTTTATTAGACATTTCTTTCAATGTAAGTTGTTTAAGTTGCTTCATTTTATGTGATAATACTTTCTCTTTAATTCTGTAAACAGACATAATTTCTTCTTCAGTTACAAAGTTCCGCTGTTCAAGTCCTATAATTGCTGTGTCGAGAATACCGATTAATTTGTCAATCGAAATGTTTTCGTTTTCAATAACCTCTGTGTCACTTTCTTCACTATTGGAAGCGAATTATAATGACGAGGAATTTGATTTAAATCATATCAAAGACGGAGTACATCGAGATGAAATACTACATTTAGTAAGGAATTATAAGCCAAATAAAATAAAAACATCTGCCCTGAAGATAAGGATAGTGCTAACAGATCAACTTCCAATTCATCGTGCACCGCGGCGCCCCCCCCCCCCGGCCGCAGAGCAGCGTGAAATTGATAAACAGATTTCGGAATGGTTAGAGAAATGAAGGATATGCCTTTTTTTTTGTAGCAATTCCACTTTTTGTTTAATGGGCTTCGAAGCATACTTTCGCTTTGTAGATCCTTTACATATTAGTAAATATATATCGGAAATTCTATTTGACATAATCGAAAGTTCAAGCTTACTTTTATAAAATTGCTCTAACAGTCTGCAAAAAATAATAAGCCGGATTCAATTCGAAGATTAAGGAACAATGCAATCTGCAACATTAACTGAATTAGATAATTTTAGCGTAGCTTATACCATCCGTTATACATTAAATGCTCATGCGTAAACACATATTCAGAGCCGTAAAGGTCTTGCGCGCATGCGCAGAAAGTTTGTAGCTTTGAGGTCCGGATTATGGGTGTCCGAATTAACGACTTTTGACTGTAGTGCATTTAAAAATTCATAGTTAAAAGTGTTTGAATAGTTGTTGTCATATAAGTTTTAATATTGTTAAGTGTCTTTATAAGTATAAATTGGGTAGATATACGTTAAAAAATGTTTTATTTTATTCAGTTTAGCATTTTGACCATGTCTTCTTTCTTCCAGTGTAAAACAATCTTTGATGTTCGCTACCAGTATAAAAATTAGGATAATATTCCTAAATTTTTAACTTTCAGTTAATATTTCCTCAGTACTGCTTATGTTGAATATCAACATGCAAAGTTAATGTAATCTAATAATTTACATATCTTTATTTACAGAAGTTTACTAGTGAAAAATAAAATGCATATTTAAAGACCAGCCTAATTAATTTTAACTTACAAACCTTCTCAAAAATATATCTAAAACACTAGTTGTCTAATTCTAAAAATTAAACATTACAATTTGGAGTAAAATCATAAATACAGAAAACGATTCTTAACAGCCCTATCAGTACTGTTATCTACTCTTTCAGTGGTTAATGGATTGTTGATTCCCCCCCAAATGTAATGATAAGAAATAGATCAAACTTTTCCATACTTTCTACATAAAAATATGATATGTATTATTAAGCAATCATTATCAGCAAAAATGTTACAGATAGATTAATAACAATACCTTTGACAATGTCTCCTGTGTTCAATATATTTCAAGTAAAGTGCCAAAAATTATTTCACTTTGTAGAATTCAGTTTATAGCTAGGTTGGTAAGATGTTGGAAGAATTATACATCTGATTAAAGGTAACACTGGAAAATAATTGTTCAAATTTCGAAATTCAGAGCAACAAAAATTAGGTACCAATAAAAGTATAAGAAAACTGAAATTGTATGTAAGTGTAAAATCTTATTATGCATTTGTGTAGATACTTTCTGGATAATTTAAAAGATAGATCTACTTAATAGATGGATTTTTATTTCTTTATTTCCACATTCTTATACTGTGCTTTGCTAGCCTTGATGATTATTCATCATTGTACTGATTTTATAATAGTTTTTAATTAGTCTGGCAATGTATGAGGCATTATTATATCATTAAATTTCTGATAATATAATAAAGTTATATGAAAATGGGGCATTATAATTACATTTTCTTGTTTAAAAACTTCTAACTATATTTGCTGATTATTTGACAGCCCTTTTGTAAAATTTTGTTAAACAAGCTCCAGAACCTGATCTAAGTTAATGATTGCGAAGTATATACTATCAAATATTGCTTTTATATGGATAAAATTTGTTTCATGACACAAAAAAATAATACTAACAGCATTTTAGATAAGCTTACAAGAAGGGGTTTCTTTTTACTTCCTTGTACAAAGTAAAACGGAAGTATTGCAATCGCGAAAAGTTTCAAGCAGCATATTTCAACGAAAATATCCATTTTGACCGCTATCGAATGCAATTTAACGATGTTTTTGAGTAACATCTGTACGTAAAGACAGAATGAAAGACTCTTTTCCTCCAAAAAAATTATAAAGCTGCTTTAAAATAAATTCTGAAGAGAATTTTTCGTGGTGTCTGTACGAACGTATGTACGTATCTCGCATAACTCCAAAACGAGTAGCCTCAGAATGTTGAATATATATATATATCTACTCTGTTACTCGGCTCAGTGATCTCAGTTTCTTTACTCTTATTATGTTTGTAAATTGTACATTTTTTGCTTTAAAAATGATTGAATTATGTTGTTCTTATCTTCCGGTTAAGGTTTTTATGCCTTTCGTAAATCTAGAAAAAATATTTGTACAATTATCAACAATTTTAAAAGCTGTTTAAGTGCGGTTAAGTTTTCAATAACATGGCAGACATATTTGTTTACATTTGAAGTAGTAGGTTTGTTGCCAATCTAGAGAGACTAAGCTTTGCAACAACAAAGATAACGCCTTCATTTATTATTGCGAATTAAATCATGCTTAATCCTTTCTGGAATTTTTTTGAGGAAATAAGTGTTTAAGATTTACTTCATAATTTTTAATACAGATAGATATTTTGAGATTTTATGTATTTTTGCCTTGTCACGAAGTGAGAACTGAATTAAATGAATGAGAAATACTAAATCGTCTGTGAAATCTGTTTCTTTTTTTGTTTTTGTTTTTGCTTAATTTATTTTATACATCATTCTAGCTTTATTAGACTATTTGAACAGAACATGTGGCAACGATTAGATAGTTCTTCAAATGATATAAATCTTGTGCATTCTGAGTTATAATATGAACGAAATATCAAGTGAACCTAGCGCCAGAGTGTTGCTATAGTATACAAATATAGTAAATTTTAAAGAGTGCATTTATTCTATTGTGGTTTATGTGTTGTCGACAAAGTAGATCTGTTAATTCAATAAGTTTAAATGAAATGCAAGAAAAAATGCGTATAATTTAACATTCTGTACAAGGAAGTCATGTGGTGTACACATCAGATTTTTTATTAAAGAATCATGAAAAGAAAATACTTATGCATTTCAAAATATATGAAGATGAGAATTTATATTTACAAGCAATATTATGAAAAAAAGTGATATAATCTAAGTAAATCAGAAGTGTGTGTCTTGAAAGAGTGATATCAAACATTTTGAGGGGATGGAAGTAATCAAATATTAAAAATTTGGGTAAAAATCAGGAAGTCAGCAACATTTTCTGAAAAATCTGGTGATTTTGAAATCAATATTATTCTGGCCAAATGTTTGTTTACACAGTTTTTGATTGGACTTAACATTACCTTCATGCTGTAGATTATGCTGGTTCTGTGCTTAGGAAGATATTCACTGATTTACATGTTGTTAGGTGTTCCTTCAGTGCTAAACAAAAGCTCATCTGTCTTCATGGCAGATGTTCATGAAAAAGACTTTAGAACTTTTCAGAACTACGTTATGCCTTCTAATTTAATTGGTGTACTGGCCAGATTATTTTAATGATAATTATCAATAACTTATTATATTAAATATTCATATATCAAACTGCATTTCTTTCTGTACCGATAATGCAGCTATTGTGATTGGGCATTAAATCCTTTCTGAATTGTATGGCAATATTTCTGAAATATGAAATGGCTGTCTCTTCTTGTAGCATTAAAAAGACTAATGGAGCAATGGGGGATCTCTTTATGCTTTTTAAAAATTATTTTCACGAAGAAGTGGAATTAAATAATTAATTCAAAACTATCGATAAAGATGCAAAAGGCCCACCATAGTGAATGTGTTCTCAAGGGAATGAAACTTTATGAAGAAAAATATTTTTCTGTAAGAGAGAAAATTTTTTTATCATTTTCTCTTTCTGATTCTGAAAAACCATATATGCAGCTACAAACTGCATTACTAAAGAAAATGTTTTAATTATTATTTCAGGGACTTCTTAACTTTTGTACAATTGTTTGAAAAATTAGAAGATAAAGATTTTGGTATTGGGAACTGTACTTAGAAGTTTACTAAAAGTTTCTAAGGCTAATTAAT